CGGGGGGTGTTTGCGGGTGTGTATTTATTGTTTGTATGTATGTGTGTAAGCGTCTGTGTGTGCGTGTGTGTGTGTGTGTATGTGTGTACGTGACAAAGAGAAGGAATGTGGAGGAGATGAATGGCAAAGAGCGAGAGAAAGAGCGATAGACGAACAGGCAGAAAAGAAGGGAAAGATGTGTAGAGAGGACACGGAACAAAAAAGAGAGAGAAAACCGACACAAAAAGGAAAATTGAAAAAGAGAGAACAATACAGTGAATATAGAGGAGAAAAGAAATGCGAAACAAGAGAATTGTCAACAGTTGAACTGGAAAAAAGACACAGAAAAAAAGAAAAAATTGAACGATATCGGGGAAGGAAGAAAAGTTCAACGCGAAAGCCCGAAAAGTACATGCTTTTTTTTATATGAGAAAATGAGAACTTTGCCAAAAGGACGGTGAAGTGATATTTTTTCCTACTTTGAGACTGTATCAAAGAAAAACTTAAAATAATGACTGGTTGAAAACAATGTAACTGGCTACAGAGTAGCCATAATTTTGTGGAAGACTGAGTAGCGATAAGAGTTACCTTTGTCACTTTTGAAAGAAATATACAGAAAATACTCACATTATACACACGAGACAAAAGTTTAGGACATTTCAGTAGCATCGCCTTTAAGACTCTCACTTATACCCAATATTTTTGTTTGGAATTCTCTGTGATTCTCTTTTTAAAAGGAGTGCTTCACGGACCAAAGATGGGTGCGTTCCTTTCGTTTCATCCAACTCTGTTCATTTGCATGAGTATGAAAATTTCCAACTCCGGTTTTGAGAACATTATAATATTATACACAAAAAAGAGAGTACACTATTTTATGTTCTTTTGACTTTAATAACTGACAAAACTCTGTTTATGCGTAACATATTCTGTAAAGGGAGTTTGAAGTCAGCAACTGAGCTTACGGCTATTTTTAATTTTCAGTTGACGTCAATGATCCAAGTTGTCAGAGCAAGGCTCAAGATTCGTGATGCCCCCAGCATGGCGTGATCCTTTCTGTGTTCTTCGACACCACATGGTAAAAGACATTTCAGTTCCCATGACATTGTGGCACCCAATCTGAGCATATCTCAAGTTTGTTTTGTTTTTTAAAGCTGTTGCTTTTTGAAGTTTCACTTTAGCAGTATGTTCATTATTTCTTAAAAATGTATGATCGTAGCTGTAATTCTAAAGTTCACAAATTTATAATGTTATCTCCCTGGGGCTGAGATGAGGAAATTCACCGTGAACCCAAATGGGGACAAAAAATGCCATTCGCTGGCAAATATAAGATCTCAGGCATTGTCTGTTGGCACATCTTCTCCTAACCCAGCCTGCTTGGTCAACTTCTACACACTTCTGTAAGTAAGACGATAAAACTCTTTCAAACGTAGTAAATATGCATAAAAGTTAAATTGTTCTAATTTGATCGTAGCCGGGTGTAAAATACCTAGATCTACCTTTTGTGAAATTAGACTTTTAGAGCTAAATGATCTAGTGAGGATCCAGGCAGTATACATGTAAATACCTATATAGAATAGGACTACATACATGTATGACGTTAATAGCTTAATTGTTAGGCTGCTGGGCTTGTAATAGAATGGTTGCAGGGTAGATCTTCAACAGGGGTCCGACATTGTGTCCTGGGGAAAGGCACTTTGCACGATTTTTTCACTTCACTCGGGTGGGAATGGGTACCTGATATATAACAGCGAAAGATTTTGTCAGCTTATTCCTAAGCACTCCATCGACTGCAAGCGCTGTAAGCTACCCGTGAGCCCGAGAATAATAATGATGATGAATTTTTAATTTGAAATCGACCAAATTATGAAATTAAAAATTAATAATAATAA